ACAGGGTCTCCCTGTAGCCCCAGCTGTCCTGGAACTCACTATGTAGATCAGGCTGGCCTTGAACTCACAGAGATCCGTCTGCCTCTTCCTCCAGAGTGCTGGGATTAAAGGTATGTGCCACCATGCCCGGCTCCCCATTACACTTTTTTAAAAAGCAACAATCACCACCATCTGTCTTCCAGGTCACTATCAAACCAAAGCCCCTGCCATTAAGTAGCCACTCTCATAACTCTTGTTAGTCATCACTAGACCTCCTGTCTCCTGATTTTGACCATTCTAGGTCCCTCATTCAAGTAGAATCATATGGCATTTGTCATTTTGTCCATAGCTTACTCCACTCAAGCACACTATCTTTAAGATTCATCCAGACTGCAGCAATTGCCAGGATTTTCTAGCATTTTAAGGTCCCCCACCATCCACTCTACATATAGCTACATCTTGTTTATTCACTGGCCATTTGGGCTACTTCCACCTTCTGATATTGTGAACAGTGTTATGATCAACATCTGTTTTCCTACTGGCTATTCGGAAGTAATTTTCTACACTATTTCTCCTCAAGAAAACACTTTTTTTTTTTTTTTTTTTTTTTTTTTTTACTTTTAAATTATCATCCCATCACCCTTATGTCAGAACAAGCAAGAGAAAATAATAACAAAAAATGATCAGGGTCAAATATTACGGCTCTTTGGAGTACTGCTTATAAATTGTCTGATGCCTTATCTTTGGGAAGTTCAAAGGATGAGCTGCACGCAGAGGTGTTTTATAAGCTGTGAGACAATGAACGAATGAAAGAAAAAACACATTATTATTCTCTCAGGACAAGGGATCTTAGAATGCTTTTTTCTGTTTTTCCTTATACAATAACCAAGACCAAGAGTGTTGGGTGAGCTCTGGGAATGAGTTTGGGTATTTAATGCAGTTGTGAGCTTAATGAAAACACAAATTCATTTGTTAGTGGATTCAACAAACTTAATCAGCCTTTATCTTTCCTGGTTGTAGAGTGATAGGGTTATTTTTTTAAGATTAAGAACTTTTTAAGGGCTGGAGAGATGGCTCAGCGGTTAAGAGCACTGGCTGCTCCTGCAGAGGACCTGGGTTTGATTGCCAGCACCCACATGGTGGCTAACAACCATCTATAACTCCGTTTCCAGGGGAATTTGATGCTCTTTTTTGACCTCAGTGGGCACTGCACAAAACAGGTGCACTTACATACATGGAGACAATACACTCATACACATAAAAATAATAAAATATTTTTTAAAAAAGAACTCTTTTCTCTTTGATTGCAAGGTATGATGGGCTAAACCTCAGAGCCTGGAGGTTTTGGCCAAGTCGAAAGACCTACAGGTATCTCCCTTGAGTGTGCACGCCATTGAAGACCCCAACACACACAGAAATTTTACTTAAACCATCACATTACCACTGCTCTTTGAAACTCATCAATCTCCCATTAGATCACCAGGATGGTATGACATGTTGATCACAATTACAGTGCAAGAAACGCGGTGCAGTCACACTGTGGCCACGTCAGCTAAGAGACTTACTTTGACGGATGATCACACTTGATCAAGTTTGTCAGTTATTCTATGTGTTTTTATGCTTGTTTGATATTCCCGCCCAGAAAGAAGAGGCTTTTAGGGGCACATCTGTCAGTGAATTCAATTTCACAGTGCCATGTGACTCTTTCACTTACCCCTGTCTTCTCATCAAAGATTTTGATTCCTCCAAAGGAGATGGTTAAAAAGATTTTCTGTTTGTGTTCTCCTTTGGAACGAGCGCCAGCAACAACACCCTGTTGAAAGGAAGGACATGGTTTTTACTTTAGTGTTTTCATTTGAAAATTCCCTCTGGTTGAAAGGCACATCTGATGCCATCAGCCAGAGCCGCCAATCGTGCTCGCTCCCTTCCTTTGCCCTTCTGTGCGTCTCTGTATCACATGCTCACGTCTGCTAGGCGTTTTAGTTAATACTTATTCTAGATGCCCCACCACGGAATAAATACAAATCTAATTAGCCCATGGAATGCCTTCTTGGTTCCTTAGTACATGGCTCAGAGTTGGGATGGAATACTTGAGTTGGAAAAAATATGATCCTCGTATTAATATCTGTGCTGGGTTTTATACAGAATATGAATTTCATTTCTTTAAATAAATAGAGGCAAGTGACTAAGCATAGTCCTAAATAAGATTATGCTTTTATAGTTCTGGAAAACATTTTCATATGAATGAGTTCTAGATCTTAGAAAGAAGAGAAAATACGCTAGCCTTCCCTGCCTCTCTCCCTCCCTTACTTGGCAAAACACAATCATCGTATTTATGCCTATCATTTTGCAATCGCTACCCAAAGACATCCATAGTCTCCATTAACTTTCCATTATCATTTTTGTACATTCCTTTTACCAAAACATCTATTTTCCACTTGCCGAAATACTTTACAAACTGAACATATGAGCCAACAAGAAAGCAAACCTCACAAACGGTAGCGCTATTACGTTGTTTTCTGTTCTAGTCCTGGAACTTAGGACAGTTGTCCCCTTCCACCCTCCAGGGGCCGCAGGTGCTCTTCAGATAGATATTAAAGGAGTATGTACCATCCAGACCCCTGCTAGGGTTGATGTGATTCAGGTTAAGAGTAAAACCATTTGCTTTTTAAGTTATACTTTGTGGGGCAGGTACTAGTGAACACGCACTTTAGACTAGGGCCCACTCATTTCGGAGAACGCCACCCAAATGTGCTGCCCCCCTCTGCACTCTGTGTCTCAGGGTCCTCATTCTGACAGCATCATTTTAGATCAAGTTCAGCTTCCTGCAGTCATGGCACTGGGGCTTTAGGCATAGATAAATCTAAAATAATATTGATTCCACAATTCTAGGTGGTGATAGGGCTTTTGCTGCTCTCAGAACAGTGTGTTCCCAGTACCAGTTTGGGGAGTGACTGGTGGTGGGGAGCTGAACAGCCAGGGGGGCGCTGCCTATGAGGCTGCTTGATAATCCTTACTCTGAGCACTGGAAATAGTCTGTGGTCTTGCAATATCTGATTATACTGCTGGTTCTCAGCAAGACTAGGCAAAGGACTTCATTCCATTTCCCCAAGTATAAATACTGTTTCTCATTCGGTTAGATAATTAAACATCTTTGTAAATGACTGAGCTCAATTCCCATCTTTTTGAAGATATGCAGTAAAATTAATGTCTATTGGTAATGATTATTCAGTTCCCGTTGGATGGATACCTACTAGTGGGAAATTTGCACCTCACAAGTTACTCTTCTCTTCTCAAGAACACCTTACAGATATACAGAATGTCATAGTCAGAAAAATCCTTAAAATGGGTTGATTCAAGCTTCCCAACCAATGATGAGAAAAATGACATTCCAAAAGAATGGTGGAGAAGATGAGACCACAGTTCAGCCCTTCATCCCTTTGGTGCCGGAGCAATTATTATTCTGAACATTAGATCCTTCTGAGGAGCAAAATCTCTCTCCTACAGTTCCCCCTTTCAACCCTGTGACTGCTCCACATTGACCTTCTCAATGACTTCCTTCTAGGAACTTGCACAGTGACTCCTTTCCAAAGTGAAGCCCTTTGTCTCTGCCCTTCCGCCCCTTCTACTCAGTGGATTCCAGGTCCTTCATGAGATGCTTGCCTTTGAACACACTGTTGATACCTTCAAGCGACATGGGAGGTTGGTGAAGATGTGTCTTTGGAATTTGAGAGGAAATTCCTATTTCTGTTCAATATCATCCACTCTGACTCTCTTGGTCAATGTGACATAGACTTCCTGCCAAACTACGTCTCATTCATTTCCCTGATTCTCCTGTCTCATGAGGCTCACATTATCTGATGTACCACATGGTCACTTCTTTCCTGCCTGCCTTTGCCCAGTGCAGGGGAGGCTCAACGATGCATGGAACTTCGATGTGCTCCAAGTGTCCAGGGCTGAGAATGGAGCTTGGTATAAATATGACAAAGAGATGTAAGATGACCTCTCATTTGGGGAGCCTCAGAGAAGAAGCCATATATTGAACCTAGGAAAACCGGACTTTGAAATCATTCTTTTTGGCTGCATTTACATAAAATAAAATATGCCCTCTATATCCCAAATTTCAGTCCTACGTATCCAGAGAAAACACAGACTAAGTCTCTTGCTATGATCTAAAATTTGTGCCCCAAAGTATACGTTAAAGTTTATCTTCAATGTGAATAATGCTTAAGAAGGGGATTAAGCTACAAGAGCAAATCCCTGCTACATGGGCGAAGGCCTGCATTAACGGGCTGAAGGAAGGTGTTTGTTCCTTCTGCACCTCACTGTTTGTCACAGCACTCTGTCCCTTGAAACAACTCAACAACAAGTACCACTACGAGCAGAACGACTGGCCTACCACCAGACACCAGACCTGCTGACACTTTGATCTTGAACGTTCCAGCCTCTAGCACTATGGGAAAGTATATTTCTGTTCTCTCTAATTACCCAATCCAGGTAGCAGCTCAAATGGACTGGGACAGCCCCTCACAAAGGAAAGGAAGGAAGGACTGAGTCTGAGAAGAAGGATCCCTTCTTTCTTTCTCCTAGGGAAGGGCATCACAGGATGGGGGATAGCACTGCACCTTTGACCAGGAAGAGTAGTTTTAATATTATCATCGCTGAGTCCCCATGGTCCCCGGCTCACGGAATTTCTGGAACATCAAACAGCAACATCCATACTAAGGTCAGCTCTACTTACTGGTTCCAAGTAGCTATCCCCCGGTGGAGCAGGAATGTGTAAGAATAAGAATGCACAGGGCTGCAGAGATGGCTCAGTGGTGAAGAGCACTGGCTGTTCTTGCAGAAGACCCCGGTTCGAATCCCAGAACCCACATGGCAGTTAACAACTGTTGATCACTCCAGTTCCAGGGGATCTGATGGCCTTTTCTGACCTCCACCGGTGTTGCGCAACACAGGTGCACTTAAACACATGCAGGCAATACACATGTACACATAAAATCAAAATAATAAATAAAACATTTTTTTAAAAACAGAGAATGCCAAAAGCTAGTGGCTGTGTTCCTGGAGCCCCTGTGCTTGGGGCTGTTGTGGTAGCTTTTCGTGGTGAATGAGGAGAGAAGGACTATCTACACGGTTCTGTCTTTGGGGAAATAAAAAGTAAATTTTATCAAGGATGCTTCTCTTGTGAGATGGGACCCCGTGCCAGACTCTGGAGAGTCACACTTGGTGCAGGTAGGTTTGTCATCTCAGCACGCCACAAGAATTCCTGTCCACAGCTTATTCATTTTGCTGTGTAGCACTAACAGAAGTCAAGAAGATAGCTCTGGCTGAGGAGCGGGGTGATGCTCATGTAGGTGTTGTTCAGGGCTCTGTGTCTATTAGCCACCTGACCTAGAAAGTCACCATGAGAAACCTTGGGAATTAGGGAGTCCATCTGTTTTTGAGCATTTATTATATGGTAGAACTTTTTTTTCTCTTGTCATATAATTTAGCCCACATCACAGTTTGGGGAAATAAGAATTATCTGTTTTACTTTACAGATGAGGAGACATAAGGTCAGGGGTCAAGTGACCTCCTTAAACCCAGGGGAGCCAATGCTAATAAGCCACAGAGAACTAGAATTCAGACGGACCTTTCTGGTTCTGAAGGTCATATTTATTCCACTACTGCTATCTTCTCTAAAAGTCTCTCCTGCAAACAGACTTAAAATGGCCATGCCGGGGCTGAAGAGATGGCTCAGCAGTTAAGAACACTGGCTGTTCTTGCAGAAGACCTGAGTTCGAATCCCAGCACCCACATGGCAGCTAACAACTGTCCATAACTCCAGTTCCAGGGGATCTGACAGTCTCTTCTGTCCTCTGTGGGCATTGCACGACACGGGTGCACTTACCTACATGCAGGCAATACACACGTACACATAAAAATAATAAATAAAAAATATTTTTAAAAAATATTTAAAAAATGGCCGTGCAACGATGCTTGCTGCCAAGTATGTCCCAAAGGCTATGGAAATATTTAGGTGGAACCACCAGCTTCCAAACTCAAGGTGCAGGAGAACTATATTGTGGGAAGAGTCACATGTCCTACCACCTACGAATGCTGGGAAGCCTAAATGAGACATTCCATCATTGACCAGTACTACAGGGATACTCAGCATAGAGCATCTATCAGTACTACTGGCTAATGGACATTGGCAAGCAACACCATGCACTAGGTACCGTGAAATGATCCACACAGGCATCCCCTTGAGAGAGTCGCAGGTGGACAGGGTCTGGATGGAGGATTTTACAAGAAGAGAAAGGATCAGTCAGGCCCATCGAGGTGAAGAGACTGCCTTGCCCAGCTCAGGGGCTGTTGTGAGAATCAGCACAGGAAAGGGCTTTGAGAATACTCACACCGCAGGGTGCATGCACATGATGCTATGGATGTGATCCCTTGTCTATCTCTTGTCAAGCCCATGTGCAAACACAACAGGCGGCCAGTGTGGACACTGAAACCTTAGGGTGCTGTTCCCCAAAGTCTGGGCTGCATTATCAGCCTTGCTAGTTTCTTGCTTTAAAATCTTGGGCCATTTTCCTAGTAACTGAGGGAAATGAAGCATCTTTCTCTGTCCTGTTTTGTGCCATCGACAGCACTCTGCAGATCATCTCCAGAAGACTGTCTGCCCTGCTGTCATCTGCTTCTTCCCCCACCTTTCAGTTGGGTTCCTCTGTGCAAGACACTAGAGGTCCGAGAGGAGCTGGAGGGAGATGCTGGGGCATTTCTCTTCGCTTCCTTCCCAACCTTGATCTACAGTATTGATGGTAAGCTTTTTCCCCAAAGTGTTCTTGTTTGATGAGGGAGATTTCTTTACTATGCTCCCTTCTACTCTCCAGTCAATATTTTCTTTCTGGGAAGGCGTACCAGTTGCTAGACCCTGGTGTCACCCCATACCTTGTTTACCATCCTAACCTTTCCTCCTCTGATCTCTATACTTAGCTCTCTAGGATGTCTTTGGGACTCATCTGGCTTATAGTTTCAATCACTACCCTTCTACCCAACGACTCTGAAAGTTGACTTGGAGAGTAGCTTAGTGGTAGAAGAAACAATTCAAACTGAAGAAACAAGATAAACCCAAATACAGAACAGAATACACTTAAGTGCTCACCTATCACTTGTCAAACACTGGACTCCTGGAGATGTTGATTTGAATGCCGTGCTGACTATATAAACAAAGATTGTGGAAGAAATACTTTAACTACCGTGAACCTAGATTTCTTAGTTACAAAAAACACGGAGTCCAATCTCCAGCTCATAAGATCAAAAGATGAAAGTTCTTTGTTGAATATAAGCTGAAATACAACGTTTGGCAGTAGATAGGCAGCAGCTGCTCAAATTCGCAAAAAGAAACATTCTAAAACCTTTGTGACCCACAGAAAATTCTCTAGTAAAGGAAATCCCCCTTTTTTTTTTCAGTTCTCATATGGTCTAATATGAGCAAGTGGGCCTTTTTTTTTTTTCAAGGCTAAAAGGCATTTTGTATTTCTCTGTCTCTTACTTTCCTGGGAAGGTGGCCAAACGCAGAATCGATCATTTATGTTTCTGTTTCCTACAGAAAAACCACTGGGAGCTGAAATGTCAACATTCTTCTCAGCAGCTTGCAAATAATGAAATACAATTGTCTGGAAACCAAGAACCCCTCAGCATGTCCAGCAGGACAAACTCTGAACTTTGGGACTTCATGATTATAAGGGGTGACAGATGGACCATTTCAGTACAGGTTACACACACAGACACAGACACAGACACACACACACACACACACACACGAACACACACAAACACTGTGGTGATCCTGGCTAGCCCTGCTTCACCTAGCTTGGCCTGGTGTTAATCCCAGAGAGACACTTCTAAGAGCAGAGGAAACTCCTGCTTCATATCCATTTAGGCCCCAGTGCTCCTAAGAAGACAACTGGCAAATAAGGTGCTCAGTGAATGGCTGTCTCCTGGATGCCAGAAGAAAAAGGATGGTAAAACTCTTCTCTCCTCTGGTGGCTTTTGGTGAGAAGATAGCACCTAAGTGTTCATGGAAGATTAAGGAGTGGCATTTCTGCTGTCTTTTAATGAAACTTTGTCAAGAGCAAATCTTTATTTATTTGCCAGACTTAAATAACTACAGTGAGAATCCATGTTTGGGACTTTCCCCCCATTCATGACTAAGGTTCTGTTGGAATGGCTGGAGTGGCTCTGTCGGAGTGGGGAGTCTAAAGTGGAACACAGGAGGCTCAGTCTTTCCTGGGCTGTCTGTACAGTCTGCGTACTGGCAGAAAGGCTGTATTCTGATCTGATCTCATGCATGTATATTTGCATTTTACTTGGGAGTCAGGCAAGAGCTGGGGAGAACTGAGAACTCAGCTATAAGCAAGGTGTATAGCCTATTTTGTTCAAAAATGCTGCCTGTGGCCCCGTACCACAGTCACATTTTCCTGGTCAGCATCCATCAGCACCAAAGCTGGCCATGAGAATTCTTCCTACCTGACTGCTACATCAATTCATCATTCAGGTTTGAATTTAGAAGAAAAAATGAACTCATTATTGAACTGCTATGATATCTTATAACATGACTTAATTATTTGAAAAAAAAAATCTACTAACCTCTTCCAAGGTGAAAAGTCTGTGAAATCACAATTTTGCATTTTTTAAACCACCCTTTTCTATATGCCTTAAGTTAGGCATGCATTAATTAAAATAAAGTTTGTTTATATAACAGCTCAAACAGTGAAAACATGGTAATGGATACAGAGCATAGAAAATTAAGAGATTTAAAAATCCTGCTTTCTAAAGCTATACTGTAGGGAGACAGCATCTGACAGACATGTTAACTACTGAGAAACGTCTTAAACCATCATCGAAATAGCAGTTATGACTTACCAAGCATCTATGAAAAAGGTGATGCAAGCAGCATTTTAAAATTTTTCTCTCACTTAAATACTTTTAGGCAGTTTGCCAGATTCTGGCTTCTTTTTCCCTTTTCTTCCTTTTTTCTAACACTTATAAATATTCCACTCTCCAGAGAGTACCCTCATGGACTATGTGAACATACAAAAATATGTTCATGTCTATTAGTAAATGAGCTAAAACAAAATCAAGTTATAAAACTATAGAATTCTAATCCTATTTTGTGTATATGTGTATAATTCATATATTAGAGACAAGACAAAAAGGACTGAAAACCACACACTAAAATGTCAACTCTCATTAGCTTTGTTGGGTTTTGGATGATTTCAGTTTTATTTCTTATATTTTTCTGTACTTTCAAAGCATTTTATAATCAGAATTTTATATTCAGAAAAATAAATTATACCTATATATTTGTTTATTTGCTTGCTCTTTTTTCAGACAGGGTCTCCTTGTAGCCCCAGCTGACCTGGAACTCACTGTGTAGACCAGGCTGGCCTTGATCTCACAGAGATCACCCTGCATCTGCCTCCCAAGTACAGATTAAAAGAGTGCACTAACACATCTGGCTTTTACATATGTTTTAAATGCATGAAACATAAGACTCTTCCTAGATAGCTTACATTTCTAATTTTATATATCACATTTAAAAAAAACAATATACAGGCATCAAAATTTGGAAGCAAACTGTTTTTTGTGTGTGTGTTTTTATGGTTGTTTAAAAGAATGTGTTTCTTTTCTGGTCTACCTAATATTTTCCAATTTATTTCCATTTTCTCTGTGAAAAGCTGACTCTGTGGTATTTAAAATCAGAAACCTCTTTATAGCACTGCAAAACCCAATATCTAGTTATATATTATTCCAATGATATTATCTTTCCTTTGCTATGAAGTGTTTGGAGTGTACTAGTAGAAATTAAAGAATGCAGACTGGAGAGAGGGCTCAGCAGTTAAGAGCACATATTGCTCTTGCAGAAGACCTGAGTTTGGTCTCCAGCACCCACATCCAGTGGGTCACAATCCCCCATAAACTTGCCTCTAGGGTATGTGACTTACCAATCGCCTCCATGGACACCTGTACACATATGCACATACCCCACCCCAAATTAAAAACAATAATAGATCTTTTTCTTTACATGCAGGGATAGTCCTCCCACGAACCTGGAGTTTGGCCCCTCTTGTGAGCTGAAGCTGTGATCTCCTCCCAAGAACCGGGAGATGAGGCCCTGTCCTGTGAGCTAGAGTTGTAGTCCCCTCCCCTGAGCCTGAGTTGTGGTCCCCTCAACTGAATCAGGAACTGTAGACCCCTCCCGTGAATTTGGAACAGTGGTCCCCTTGGGTGAACCTCAAGTTGTGGTCTCCTCCTGTGAGCTAAAGCTGTGGTCCCCTCACATGAGCTTGAAACTTTGGACCCCTACCGTGACCCACAGTTCCACATCCCTCTGTTGGTAGTCTGATGGTGGAGCAGAGTAGAGCATGGAGGACTTCCTGATGCTGGGCAGCAGTTTCAGACTTCTCTGAGAGACTGCATGCCCCACAGACCCCTCCCCTGAGGGCCCAGATTGTGCATGACAGAGGCTCTTTTGCTGGGCCAGGGGAAGCACCTGTTATTTGCAGATTCAGCTCCTGGGAGGACTGAGTCTCTGGAACGAACCTCCAACCTCCTAAGGCCCAGCTTGGTCCTCACCCAACACATGGTCCTGGGTATCCAGGCCTTGATGTTGGATCTTTCCCATTACAGGCACCAACATGTTTTCCATTATTTTTCTATTACTCTTCTACAGCCCCAGTGTGCCTTTACCTGTACCCTAAATGAACTTCTAGACAAAAATAAAAAATTAAAAAAAATTAAAAAAATCAGTCTGAGAAGTTAAAAAAGAAGAAAGAGAAAGTACCTCAATAACTAAACTGATATAACCCTCAAAGTGAAACTATGTAATTACATCTTAGAACATAAATTTGAAACTTTATATGTCTACTATAATTTCTGAATATTGTTTACTGACAAGCTTCAACAATAATGTGAAATTTGCCACTGCTCCTATCATGTGAGTTTGTCATTCACTCCCTTTCCAAATTCTCCAAACTATACAAAGTTTTTCAATGTAATCACATTTTTCCTAAAGAAAGAAATGTTAATAAAATATTTTAAGTAAAGTAATTAAAAGTCCAGGGATGAATAAAATCAGCTTTTCACCTTAACTTGTCACTCTATGGCGACTTACATAAAATTCATTAAAAACAATAATATAGGGAAAATGTTAAGATGTAAGGGAGGATAGAATTTGACAATATATTTTCATTTTTCAGGGGTTTCACAATAAAGGCAACATAGAAAAAATATGATTCAGTCAAAAAGCACAGAACAAAGCCTGACGAAATACTTCCGCAAAGCAGGCGCCCAGTAAATATTTCTAGGTCATTGAAGTTTCTTCTCAGTGAATAAACATGGTGATTCTCCTATTGGTCAAATCATTCACCAGTGCATGAATAAGGTTATTTTCCATAAAGTTGGCGATCACCTCTTTCTCTCACTCATATTAAACCTGAGATATTCATCATGAAATGAAATGTTTGCACAGCACCTTGAGTTTCATCATGGAATCTTGACATAACTTGTCGCCCCGAGCTGCGGAAACTTCATCAATCCCAATCAGTTTAGCTTTGTACCGGACGCCTTCACCTTTAAACCTCTTTATCAAAGTGGCTTCACTGCGATCCTGACCTGAAAACAGAGAAAAGTGGGTTCAGGAAGAAGCAAGCATGCTAAGGCCCCACTGTCTAAGATCCCACCACTCCAAGGTCCACTTTCTGGTTTCACCTATAGTCTAGGAAAATCAAATTGAAAAGCAAAACAATATTCCTAGATACAAACTCTCTGTGTCCGTTTAAATCCTGAGACAAATTACTTCCTCTCTGGGCCTCAGTCTTGTAGGCAGAAAAAGAAAATTTAAAAATAGTCATCCCACGGGCTGGAGGGATAGCGCAGCCGTTAAAGGCTAAGGCTAAGAACCAAAATGTTAAAAATAGTCATCCCAATGGATTATTAACTATATCAGATAATATGTGTAACATTTCTAACTTGCTTTTATACATGGTAGGTACTGAAGCAACAGCCATCACCCAAGAAGAGTTCATTACCAAGAGTTTTACTGGAATAAGATCAGCATTGAGTGTCCAGTATTAATAACTTTTAATGATGTTTTGGCCAGGGTGCATGGCAGTCTTGACACCCAGTTCCATGCACTACTTTATAGTAAAAGCCCAGAATAACTTCTTTGCATCAAGTAATGATGGTGAAAAATTATAAGAAAAAAATAATTTTATGATCCTCTTTTTGGTAACTCATAGATTCAGGGAAATGAGTTTCTTATAGCACTTTGTATTGAACATCTGTACCTTGCAAAAGACTCTCTTTCTCATTTTTAGCATAATATTTTGCTATGTATATCAACCAGGAATTCAAGTACACCCACATAAATAAAGAAATGTACAGATGTTTTATACTCTTAAAAACCCAAACCATTTCCATTTACCAAATGAAGACATTCATAGAATCCAGGGAGCTTGTACACAGAGTCAGAACTAAGAGGAAAACTTAGGTATTCAAACACCTTTTTAACTTTATCACACTCTGCCTTGTCCAGAATTCGGGTATTGCACTACAGTTCTTTAAACCTGGGGTCCCCAGGACTCTGATCTGTATCTCTCAGAACACCACTGACTCTAACTCCTGATCCTCTCTCTCTTGTGCCTTCTCTCATTATTAGAGCTGAGGACATCAGAAATAAGTCAGCCTGCTTCCCTTCATCTACATGACATTCAAACCAACCCTTTCTAAAATATGGAGTTGGCAATTAGTTTTCTGAGGACATGCTTACAACAGAAAAACACAGTAGCGAAGCACAGCACAGAGCTTTTCCACTGATGAACCCTGACCTTAATTTCATTCCTTTACCCATTCATCAGTTACTGAGCAGTTTTTCTGTGCCACTCAGTATGAAAATGAAGAAGACAATCTGTGTCCCTAGAAACTCAAGTTTTGGTGACTATAAGTAAAAATGTACAGTATATTATTCTAGGTGTGCAAAAAAATTGCCA